AATGGGAAAAAAAGACATTTGTGAGGTGTCAGTGCCATCAAAGTAGGTTGTGATGATACTGTCCCATACCAGCTTCGCAGTTGGAAATATGATGAAGTTGCCGATTAGACTCGGGTCCATAGAGTTAATTAGCCATCCCTTCACCACCGGATCTTTAGTCCTCCATCACTTGTAACTATGATCCTTTTCTTGTGGTTGTGGAATCTCCCCATTTATATATCCCAACTTGTCTTTGCCTTAGATATACAACTCAACAACCTGGGACCATAACACGTAGTTTGTGTTATTCAACTTGACATCGATCTGTATAGCGGACTCATTACTCTATGATTGAATATGGGTTTGAGTCTGGTTCAACATTTGAGTCATTTTGGATGCTAGGTCTGTCATGATTGAGTTTTCTTCTTGTGATTGCTCTGCCACGACAATACGTTCTTCCATTTTCTTTTCTGGCCTTTCTCTTCTTCTTTTCTGTTTTCTCTCTTCGAAATTCTCTATGTCCTAGAATTCTGCTCTAATACCATATAGAACTATGGAGGAAGATTTGATTTTCAGTCATATTGATACATCATATAAGAGAAGGTTAATATAATATGTACAAACATAACTAATATAGGAAAGATATTAAAAAAAAATCAGTCCTAGGCTACTATCCCAGAGGATTCTCAATCACTGGAATCAAGGGATTGGTAGTAAGGTTAAATTTATACCTTCATTAGAATAAAACTGGAGTAGCGGGTCCCTAACTAAAAATTGGACAAAGGAAATTCTACGGAATATTGATAGCTTTAGCGAAACTGGCAATTGTTAAAAAATGAATTTTAACATGATATTAATAGCCTTTATCAAATAGTAAAATTAAGAATATGGATATATACAGTAGTTCTCTTTTTTTTCCTTTTCAAAATTAGTAGTAAGGTTTGCTATTTTTTAATATTAATCCATGTGTCATAAACACGTTAACAAAAACTTTAACGAAGTAATTAATGGTGCATTGAAAATTAGTTAGCGTATACTAAACTTAATTATTTTATTTATAGTAGTATTGCGTGGAAGGTAATTAAGAAGAGACAGAAGAATAGAGCAAAAGATGTCATCGTTGTACTTTGTAGCTCTATTTCTCTGTTTAAATTGTCATGGAACTGAAGGTAGACGCAAAATCTATAGGGAATTGCTGAGACAACCTTCAATATTCCAGGTATATCATGCATCATAACCTAATCATCATCTTTATTATCAAACTGAAGCAACACATTTTTTGTTGGGCTAATTAACTTTTTTATTTAACTCTCAGGGTGCGTTTGGTTCGGGGTGAAATAAGATAAATCCTGTAATCTTTGTTTAATTTTCAAGATTCCCTCATTTGGTTGTCAAGTAATATAATATTACAGTAATATTTTATTGCAAATAGTGGTTACTATTGATAATATTGGCGGTAATCAGATTACCTTCCCAGGGGGTGTTAATGTTAGATTATCGGGGTAATCATAATTTTTACCCTATTTTGCCCTTAATATTTTATCATTCCGGACACATTTACCCTCATATGTCTACCAAATAACAATTACCCAGACCCCCTATATTTGAGAACTTAGCTAAAACACCCTCGCTACAAAAAAGTTTAAAAGTTAACAAAATACCTCCAATCATCCAAGACCATCGCCGGCCGCTAGCCACCACCGCTGGCCACTGGCGAAAGTCGTCATATCGGCACAAGACCGGCAGGATCTTGCCAGTCGTGTGCCGATAAGGACATTTTCGACCATGGATTTGTGATCCATGGCCGGAGGCGTTTCATGGCCACCGTTTCACGGCCAAAGATCTAGCCTTTTCACGGCCAGATCTATGGCCGTTTCACAGCCACATCTTTAGCTGTGAAATGGTCATATTAACGGTCAGATCTAGCCGTGAAACGACCATATTCACGGCCAGATCTGGCCGGATTAGGCCTGATCGACGTACGACCAGCCAAATCTGGCTGGTCGTGCGCCATTACAGCGGCTTCCAATGGTGGTGGTGGCTGCTGGTGGCGGTTTGGGGTCAGTGGGGGTGACTTTGCTACAAATTAAAGTTGTATATGGTTGGGGTGTTTTGGTAAAATTTCAAATATAGGGGGGTTAAAAGAAATAATTTAAAAAATAATAGAATAAAATAATAATAAAAATAATATTATATTATTATTTTAAAATGAGGGCAATTTAGTAATCTACATAACATACCCACTCATTTATCCTCCCAACCAAACATATTGTTATAACATACCCATCAATTTATTCCAATCGACCAAACACATTTCTCTAAAGATTCCCTAGTAATCTATCTTTCCAGTAATACAACATTCCTCAATAATATAACATTCCCTGAACCAAACGCTACCTCAATATTGATATTTGTTGACGCTTGATTTTGGACATCAACGACTCGCACGTGCAAATTGCTAAGAGAGTCTTAGAAATTACACGTAATGGATCCATGAGATTTGAATATGGAGCTGAGATTATATATGTTGCAGGAAACATAAATAATAGACTAACAAGAGAGGTTTTTATAGTGGTTCGGATGCTTAAAGCAAATCCTACATCCATTGTTATTTTATTGATATCTAACTATTTCTATGATTTTGCCCATAAGACATACAAAGATGAAGAAATACAATGTTTATAGAGAGAAACAATTGAGCTCCAATCTATGCCTAACTCTCATATGCCCAGCCCCCCTTTCGGGAAGAGAAGTGTCAATTTATACACCTTTGAGGTCAATGTAATGAGTGTTTTGCAAGTAACCTTGACACATGGAAGGCTCTCATCCATTCATCTCTTGAAATGAGATAGGGTTGGTATGAATATCTTTGAGGAGGTATGGGCTTGGCAGCTAGTACAAAAAGACATTTATTAAGCTAACATAAGCGTGACTTTTTAGGCATAATAGAAGCCCCCCAGTTTTTGGAGTGAGTAATCGCGCTTTAGAAACTCAGGTCTTTGATCTGAATGACTGTTGCACTATAGGTTATAGTCTCGAATTGAAGAGCTCAAACTATTCCTGGCGCGATCGAGTGCTGAGAGCTAGAAGCTGATTGCGATCTGAGAGCTAGAAGTTGATCGCGATTTGATAGAAGCTCGATCTGAGAGCATAACGAGCTCGATTTGAGAGTATAACGAGCTTGATCAAAGAGTATAACGAGCTCAACCTGAAAGCATAACGAGCTTGACTTGAGATCATAAGGAGCTCGATCTGAGATCATAAGGAGCTGGATCAGAGAGCATAAAGAACTCAATCTAAGATCATAAGGAGCTCGATCAGAGAGCACAACGAGCTCAATCTGAGAGCATAACAAGCTCGATCAAAGAGCATAACGAGCTCGATCTAAGATCATAGTGAGCTCGAGCAGAGAGCATAACGAGCTCGATCAGAAAGCAAGAGATCAACGATCTCAGCGTACGATCAGCGATCTGGATACGCGATTTGAAACTAAAGATCAGCAATCTGAAGCCGAATATCAGATCGACCTGAGCGTGCGATCAGCGATCTGGCCACGCAATCTGGGCGATCTCAATGAGTGATCTCAACGATCTTAAACGCGCGATTTGAAGCTAAAGATTAGCGATCTGAAGCCGAGGATCAGAACGACCTGAGTGTGCGATCAGCGATCTGGGCACGCGATTTGGATGATCTGGGCGATCTGAACAAGTGATGTCAACGATCTTGAACAAGCGATTTGAACTAAAGATAAGCGATCTAAAACTGAAGATCAGCGATATGAGTGTGCGATCAGCAATCTGACCACGCGATTTGAAGCTAAAGATCAGTGATTTGAAGCCGAGGATCAGAACGACCTGAGCGTGCGATCAGCGATCTAGCCACACGATCTGGGCAATCTGAACGCGTGATCTCAATGATCTTGAACTCGTGATTTGAAGCTAAAGATCAGCGATCTGAGCATGCGATCAGTGATCTGGCCACGTGATCTGGGCGATCTGAACGCACGATTTGAAGCTAAAGATCAGCGATCTAAAGTTGAAGATCAACTATCTAAATGTGCAATCAACGATCTGGCCACGCGATCGGAGAACTTTGACGCAGGTTTGAGACCTGCATGGGCCACCAAACTGTTGACGCTTGATTTTGGACATCAACGACTCGCACGTGTAAAGTGCTAAGAGAGTCTTAGAAATTACACGTGATAGATCCATGAGATTTGAATATGGAGTTGAGATTATATATGTTGCAGAAAACATAAATAATAGACTGACAAGAGAGGTTTTTATAGTGATTCGGATGCTTAAAGCAAATCCTACATCCACTGTTATTTTATTGATCTCTGACTATTTTTATGATTTTGCTTATAAGACATACAAAGATGAAGAAATACAGTGTTTACAGAGAGAAATTATTGAGCTTCAATCTATGTCTAGCTCTCATATGCCCAGCCCCCCTTTTCAGGAAGAGAAGTGCCAATTTATACACCTTTGAGGTCAATGTAATAAGTGTTTTGCAAGTTATCTTGACATATGGAAGGCTCTCGTCCATTCATCTCTTGAAATGAGATAGGGTTGATATGAATATCTTTGAGGAAGTATGGGTTTGGCAGCTAGTACAAAAAGACATTTATTGAGCTGATATAAGCGTGACTTTTTAGGCATAACAATATTAGATTTATTATTTGATCAATATATTTTATATTTGCATCTTAAATATATGATAAAATTTGTATATTAATATTAATTAAATGATGTGAGATAGAATAAATTAGTTTTGGCTTTTGGCTTTACAACCAAAATAAAATAACATTTTGATAATAAAAAAAAAAAAAATACAACTCCATCAGTGAATAAAAAGATATTATTTAATTCAGAATTAACCTAATAATACATATATAATTAAGTAAATATAAATTATAAAATAAAGAAAAAAAATATATTTATTACTTAAACATGGTGGTATAGAAGCTTACTATCAACTCTGAAATTGATTTGTAATTTTTGGCAACTCATTGTTTCTTCATGAACAATCGCAGCCAAAAAAATGCTAAATATGACAGCGTGGATATACACAAACAACCTGCTTTCGATCATATCCTATTAAAGAATCACAAGATCCAGGTATATTTTTTTTTCTCTTTTTCCATTTGGTTTTCTTGAAAATTTATAGTGAAAAAACCAATAATGGGTTGGCCGAGTGGTAAAGATTTAGGGTCAAGAGGTTTGTTTCCCCTATGATCTTAGGTTCAAATCACAAGAATGGTTGTTAATATTATTGATCATAGACTGTAGGGTTGCCCTATTTTGGAAATCTTGTTTTTTGGGTCGGGGGACTAGTGAAAAGATTTTCCCTTGATAGGACTTCAACTTTTTATTCATATATTCCATTTGATTTAATTATTGTGCAGATTGGTCCAAATTCCTTGCCAAAACCGAAGAATACGAACTTAAAATTCAACAATTATCCACACTTGGAATCCACCGATGAAGGTTGTCCCAAAGGAAAGGTGCCTATCCAAAGACTGAAAGTTGATAACCTAACAGATGTTATTCATCCACTTACAGAGACAGCACCCGGTAAACATGTAAGTTATTTAGTCATTACCAAGGCATAATCAGAATTTTGATTTAACGGGTGACAACATAGCAACAGTTAGTAACACATTACAATATAGAATATAAAAACGTTTCGCCACCTTCTTTTTGTTTCCAGATTGTTATTGCTAATTCATTCAAATTTGACTTTGATTAATAAAAAAAATAAAAATAAATTACACATGATTTGTATTGATCACATAAATTGGAGAATTTAGTAGAATATGTTTTTGGTGCACTTGGAAAATGTCATCAACCACTAAGGGGCCATGGAAATTTTATATAACTTGTTCATTTTCTAAACAAAGCAAAGATTTGACATCTCAACCATTCCAGTTTCTTGCTAGCTAATTTCATTTTCTTCTCTTATAAACTAACCAATCAAACAACTCTCTCGATACTATCAATTCTGATTTTTCTTTTTTCCTTCTTTTCTCTTTCTTAAACTTGTTTTCATTGATCGATCGCGCCTCATGCATGACAGGAACAAATTCATGAATATTGCCTGTGAGCAAGCTCAAAATACATGGTTGATTGATTGATCGTTAATTCTCCTTGGTCGATGGAATTGTGTTGTTATGCTGTAAGTGTATTGAGAAATCGGGGATGTTGGAACGGCTCAATCAAATCAAATCTCTCAAGGATTGGGTCCTTTCATTTGATTGAGCCGTGCCAATATCACGTTTAATTTCTTCGTTCATCCCCTTTTCCTTCTCTTGAATTCATTTTTGGCTACTCATTTTAAGGGTTTTTTATTTGTTATAAATCGATGGTATGTTTTATTAGTCAATGATGATTATGCATATATCGATAAATGATACATACATCTATTTAAACGAATAAGATTGATGAAAATACTGCAATCGTTCCATGCAGATACATAGACTTCCCTTCGAATTCCCCTGCCCTAGTTACTGTATTTGCATATATGAAATTAATATTGGAAGAAATTATGGATGGTACTGTGAATACTATATTAGGAGTTAATATTTAACATTAAGCTATTTTGAAAAATTAACACATGAGATACTAAACATATTGATAACATATCAGCAAATATAATGACAATTGTATCTTATAATCTTAAAAGATTTATTAAGAAAAAATAAAAATTCGCAAACTAGCTTAAAATATGCTTTTTTCAGTTCTTGTTTTCTTAGAAATATCAAATATCAAAAGTTGGATAATATTAAAAGTAGAACAGTATTACACTTACAACTTTTTTATACATCATTTTCATATAACTTAGATGTAATAGCTCACGATTGATCAGTTTACAATGGATCTCATCTATCCAAATGTAAACTGACCAATCACGAACTACTATTATAAGGTTGCATAAAAAAGTTATATGAAGAAGTTGTAAATGTAATTTTATTATTAAAAGTAAGATGTTTAATTCCTCCACCTGTTAATTTATACTGCTTATAGTTTGCAGTGGCTAAGTCAAATGTGTTTAAGAAAATTTATGGCGCAAGTGCAACTATAGGCTTAAATACTCCACATGCGAAAATGAATCAAATCAGTGCAGCTACTATCTGGATTGAAGGTAAATCAGTGCAGCTACTATCTGGATTGAAGGTGGAGAAGGTCCTCAACTTAACAGTTTACAAATTGGATGGGCCTAAGTCAATTTCATCTACATATGAATTCAAATTTCTGTAATTTAGTTATGATTTTTCACACCTTAATAAATCAAATTAACTAGCTTCCCGTATGATGACTGTGCTTAATATTTAGGTCCATCCACGTATCTATGGAGACTATCTCACGCACTTGACAGGATATTGGACAGTTAGAATCAACCCCTTGTATATCTCTAATCTAATATCTTGTTCATCTATGGGCATGCCCTTCACAAATCTTAACACAATTTAATTTTACGTAAAAAAAGGCAGATGGTTCTATCAAAACAGGTTGTTTTAATGCGCTGTGCCCTGGTTTTGTACAAGTGCATCGTAAATATTACCTTGGTCAAGCTTACGGAAACTTTTGGGCCAAGAAAAACCGTAACTTAACTCATATTTTAGTACATCGGGTAATGAACAATTACTTTCCACACTAAAAAATGGTTTCAGATTCTCAGATTGTCATTACGAAACTGAGAGTTAATTTCTTTTCCTTTTCAACAGGACAAATCAACGGGACATTGGTGGGTGACCTTAGAGAACAACATACACTTGGGATATTGGCCTGAGAAGCTTTTCACTGTGTTTGGTTGTGGAGCAAACAGTGTACAATTTGATGGGTGGACTTACGGATATCCAGATGGGATGAGTCCACCAATGGGGACAGGCTATTTTCCAACAACAAATAATCTCAAACAATCAAGCTTTTTTTTAAACCTAAAATATGTTGATGATTTGGGGGTTTTGCAGGATGCGCATAGACTGCGCCAAGTTGCTGATATTAGTAACTGTTATGATGCCATATATTTGGGTCACAAAAATAGAGTAAATGAACAAATCTTAACCTTTGGAGGACCTGGAGGACAATGTGACCTCTGATAGATCTAGAATTAATGAGGATTTGATGGTTCATTTGTCATTGGGAAGTGATTTGAATAATATTAATCTCATTTAAATAAAGATGCTTATTTTCTGAAAGTAGTATATATGAGTTTTATGTATGGTTTAATTATTCTAATAGCGGTTATATAATTAAGAAATGAATGAGCTCTCAGTTGACAGAAAACCAAACTGCATGCGTCCATTTTAGAATCAAAATGATACATTGTACGAGGGCAATTTAACAAATAATGATATACTTTTGGTCTCAACATTCTCCTTTTAATGTTTTTATGTATACAAGGAGTTGCCTAATGCCAATTTCACCCTAAGGGGGCGTTTGGTTAGCGGTAATGTGATATTATTGGGGTAATGTCATCTTATATTACTTGATTACCACATTTGGTTGTCAAGTAATATAAGATTCCAGTAATCTTCAAATACCAATAGTAGTTACTATTGGTAATATTGGAGATAATCTAATTACCTTCATTTTCTTAGGTATTCTAAGTATATCAGGATTATCTTTTTTTGTTACAATTTTATCCCTTATTAATAAAAGTTTTAGACAATAATACCCTCATTTTAAAATAAATTTACATTAATATCCTGTTTCAATTTTACCCTTATTTAACTAAAATTTTGGACAATAATGTCCTTATGTTTAAAACAATTTATAGACCACGACTGCCACTCAGCCACCACGACCACTACCACCCAGCGACCACCGCCGACAGCGGCCAACCACCACGGACCGCTACCGAAAAGTTGTCGGGGTCCCTTAAAAAGAACCAGATTCGGTGGGAGGCTTCGGGAGGTTTCGATGTGGCCGTTTCCGGCCATATTGATGGCCGAAAAAGGTCATATTGGGCCAGATCGATGAAACTGGCCTTTAACGGCCAGATCTATTTTGGCCGGAATAAAATTGGTTGTTAACGGCCAGGTCTGTGGCCATTAAAGGCCAGATCTGGCTTGATATGGCCGTTTTCGGCAATCAATATGGCCAGAAACGGCCAAGTCGGAGCCTCTTGGTCATTGTGAGCTTCTCACGGGGATTTTCGAAGCTTTCGGCGGTGGTTTGCAGTGACGGCATGCGGTGGCAGGAGGTAGGGGTGATTTCGTAATAAATTAAAGTTTTATATAAGCGGTGGTGTTTTAACTAAATCTGAAATATTGGGGGTTAAAAGAAATTATTCAAAAATTATAATAAAAATAATATTATATTAATATTTGAAAAGGGGACAATTTAGTAATTTAAATAATATACCCACCAATTTATTCCCCATAACCAAACATATTCATTAATAACATACTCACCAACTAACCAAACACATTTTTCTAAAGATTCCCAATAATCTTCCAAGGTAATCTATCTCTCTAGTAATCCAACATTCCCAGTAATCTAACATTCCTGAACCAAACACCCTTTAAACATATTGTAATTAATAGATCATAGATGTGATCTTTGATGAGGGCATTACATGACTGGCAGTGCAAACACATATTTATCCTTCAATAATCCTAATTTCTCTCTTCAGCTTTCTCTAAAACATAATTTAAAAAAAAAAAAAAAAGAGCTCTGTTTCTATTATAGTTTGCCCATTTCTATGGTTGGATTGATGATTTCATCAGCCATCATGTGAAGCAGCCCTGGTTGTGAGAGTGAATCCATGTAGCCTTGTAGGGGAAGGAGTAAAGAGAGAACTTTCATTTGAACAAATAGCCTGCACATTCGAGAGAATTAGTCCATTGTTTTGGTATTTATAACAACTGATTTTGAAAATATCAAACAAATATTAAATTAAATTATGCAGTAGTTTCTTCTGGTTCCCAAATCCATTTTGGATATCCAAAAACAGGGTTAGCATTTCTCACGTATTAGATTGATCGACCAAATGGCAATCAATCAAATCAATATTCAGTCAAAATTTGTTGCTGCTCTTATCTTCTTTCTGCATTTTATGATTTATAGTTTCTTGGTCAGAGACTACTGCCTAGAACTTGAAGCACAAGAAAAAAACTGTTAATAATGTAATGATCTTTTCTGGTAGAATTACTGTTTCTTAATCAGATAATACTGTCTTGAACAAAACAAATGCAATTAGTAATTTTTTTTTTTTCTTCTAGTAGATCTTGTATTCTGCTAGAGACCTTTATAGTTTAAGCTCTGGATCCACTACTGCATTACATGTACTTGAAAGATATATTAATTTTATACATTAGAGATGTAGTAATCTCAGAACCTTTAGTTTTTAATTTAATCATGATCACTAATCAAAGAAGACGAAGTATATACAGCATTAATCTTCTTATATTTCTGATGGTCTTACCTTCACTACGACCTACTTTGTTAGATCAACATTAATCTGTCAACCCTTTGAAAGCACAAGCATATCAAAAGATTTCCCTTCATTATACTGACACTCTCAGAATGCAAAATTAAGAAACTTCCAATACTTTCTTAGAAAAAATAAAGAAAGCTCAAGCTTCTTCCATCAAGTTTATGAAAAAATGTATGATTGCATTCTCCATTTGCAAATACTCCACTTTTGAAACCATTCCTCTAATAGTCACGTAATGATTCATGGAATTTATCCAATTAGTATATTCATTGCAGGTTTGGCAGAATTTTTTTTTTTTTTTTTTTTTTTTTATAAAAACTCTAAACTTTTCTAAAAAATCAGTGTAATTTTCTTGGTTTGATTAAGCTTTTACAACTGGTAGTTTTCTTATTTTGTCTATAAACGCCTAGAGTTTCAGAGTGAATGCATATCATTTCCTTTGTAAACAAGTCCAAGTCATCGTTCGTACATTAAATTAAAAAATTCTTTATGGTTAAATATCACTTAGATTTATAAGAATCAAACATTGGGGGTTATGTTATTTTAAAACCACAGGGGGTTAAATTCGCTAAAACATGTCGTTTCTAAACTGGAACGATGTGTATCTTCTTAGTAAACGGCATTGCTTGGTATAAAAATTAATGCATGTGCTCAAATTTTAACGACATGTCGTACAAAAGTTTGCCCCTGTATTATAATATGAATCAAAAACCCCCTAATGTTCTTACTACTGTGACCTATATGATATTTACCATGAAAAATTTTACAAATTATGAGGCGAGGTTGTTTAATCTCTGAAGACAAGAACGACATGACGTTCTCTCATAAACGACATGTCATTTCCCTTTGAAACGACCGTTATATTGCACATGAAGACACAACCTCGGAATTCCAAATAAGCTGCAGCATCCGAATCATCATATCTACTACATTGCCTTTGGGGCGTCGACATTCTTCCACAAGCTGTTCGAATGGCTTCGGAGCAGGTAATGGCCCTATAGAAATAAATGAGTTCCATTCAAGAAGAAGTAATTGTATTTACGTTCTCACATGCTTCTGGCAGCCCTGCCTCTGAAGGAAATATTATCATGCGACTACTGATATGAATGGCCTGGTTGTGGGTGTGATTGTGATGGTGATCCTGGATCCATGTAAGAGGCTGCTATATTGAAATGGATGATAAAGGAACAGCAAAAGAAGAACAAACCGGAATTTTGGCTTCTCCAGATGCCGTTTCCGACGCTGGAAAACGGCGTCTGCAAATGTACACCGTATCCAGACGCGCGAACGACGTCGGTCGAAAATCTCTATCCAGACACCGCCGGCGTTCGTGAAGAGGTGTTCTCCCGACACAGCCACGATGCGCCCTTCTTCGTTGTATTATACCCACGGATTCTTTCAAAACGACCAAAAAAAACAATGAGCGATTCAATGATGGACGGAAATGGATTTTGAATAATGAGGGGTGTTCGGTCGTATTTCTGTGTAGTTGGTAAATGAGGATGAGTTGTATGTTGTGGCTGACAATGTTGGCTTGTATTTTGCAAATGAATTTGAACTTGTAAATGGGATGGAAATGGCCAAAGTGCTAAATTGAATAAAATAAAAAAAAAAATTTTAAAAAAAAAACTGAAATGTATATTGGTTTAAAGTGCTAAGAGCTAGTTCGAACACCCAATCACAAGAAAAAAAAAACATTACCAATTAATATTACAATGATATATAATTAAATTAATAAAGAAAAATAATGATCTATGTAGACGAGGTAGATGAAAACAGCGTAAACATCTTTGAAGAGTTTCTTAAATATTTGAGGAAGTCTACCGGACTCATTTAGTTACTAAATCAATAAAATAAAATAATTAGATTATAACATGAGAATGACATAATGTTAAGGAATTTTTATTTAAATAATCCTTTTTGGTAATTTTCAATATTATAATATATTTTTAAATTTTAAAAAACTAATAATAGAACTAAAAAAGAGTTTAGGTACGGCTCAAAGCCTCAAATAACAACTTCATTTATTTATTTTTTTTTTTTTAAATGTATCTACTTGAGCCTTATCCACTTGCTATTCGGTAAAAAATATAAGTATTAAACACATCTTTAAGATTATCCATTGGATTAAAATGCACTCTAATAGTGTTGTGCGTAAAAAATCACACTGATGTCAGCACCACTAATCAAAGTTTAAAGAGGTTTTGTGCCGTCCAAGAGCTACCACGTCACCTCAAAAGACAAAATGTATTAGCTGTCAATCCCAAACCATCTTAAAGATATTTTATATCAATCCTATCTCATTTTAAGATAATGATTAAGAAGTGATCTCACGTGTAATGACAACTTGCAAAAACACTCATTGAAAAAGGGGTTGGGCATATGAGAGCTAGACAAACATTTGAGTTTTATTATTTTTTCTCTATAAACAAAACATTTATCCATCTTTGTACGTCTTACAAGCAATATCATAGAGATAGTTAGAAAATAATATAATAGTAGTGGACGTAGGATTTGTTTTAAGCATTCGAACTACTTTAAAAATCATCTTCCATTTCTCTTTATTCATTGTATTTTCCATTCACGTGTAATTTTTAAACCAATTTAACACTTTGCACATGTGAATAGTAATTGTCAAAATCCACCATTAACAAATAG